TTTTGACATTAGAAATACTTCCTAAAAGTCTGAATTTTTAACTGTCCTGTGAATGAGCACCTTCTTTATTATGAGCGCCTCTCACCTACCCAGTAATTGACAGTAGATAGACCATTTTGGAACCATCCTTTCAAGGCTCCTCTCCCTCTCCCATTTTCTTTGTCTTCTTTTTTGAAGAGCATCATGTTCTTGGGGATAATAACATTCCATTAAAGGGAGCTCTCCAAACTGTACTTCACAAAGACAGAGTAACACAGCTTCACAAGTCGGTGAAGAGCCTGCCACAAAGGAGAGGGAATGTTAATTGCCCTTTGGATTATGTTGGTTCTGATTTCAGAATATATACCTATTCACAGTTATACTTTTATGTATATTAGAAATCTGGAATCCATATCAACACCTGAAATTAAATCCACTTCATAGGAGTCACCTAGCCTTCCCTGTTTGTAAGGTGTAAAGGGTTGAGAGACATTAAAAGATAATTTGACAATGCAAAATAAAATAGAAAGTGAATTAGGTACAACATTTTGGACTCATCAAGATAGGATATAGAGTATTTTCTCTGAATTTGTCAAATGCAAATGGACTAGACATGGTTAATGTATTTATTGCCTGTGTAAACCGTACATAGTTATTGTACTTATTGTATAGATTTTTTCTTATATTAGTTATAATTTTTTATTTTAGACAAGAAGGAAAAATATATTGGTATATTGTGTTTTAATAAATAAAGCTTACCTGAGCCGGGCGGTGGTGGCGCACGCCTTTAATCCCAGCACTTGGGAGGCAGAGGCAGGCGGATCTCTGTGAGTTCGAGACCAGCCTGGTCTACAAAAGCTAGTTCCAGGACAGGCTCCAAAACCACAGAGAAACCCTGTCTCGAAAAACCAAGAAAAAAAAAAAAAAGCTTACCTGAAGGTCAGTGCAAAGCAGCCACACTAGTTAGTCACAGAGGCCAGGTGGCGGTGGTGGACACCTTTAATCCCAGCACTAGAGAGGAATATGAAGTGGGAGGAGACACGTCTCACTACCAGTCTTCATACTGAGCATACTGAATATGTATGCTTTTCTGTAATCCCCCCCCCCTTTTTCCCATGTAAGAATTTCTCCTGCAAGTCACTCCAGATCAATTCACAGAGATCTTCATTTTTTTTCCATCTAAGAGGTTCAAAGTGATCATGATGATTATTTACTATAGTTTCTCTAGCTTGGACATCTAGCTTCCACTCTCGCAGCTGCAGGGCAATGGCAATGGGCCACCTTGGGCATAACATTACATGTTATTGGGCATTCCAATCTTAACAGCTGGTGCTCAGAAATGGCATTGGCGCGCTGATGGGGAAGCCATACATTTTTGTGGCTGCTGCAAATTCTTTTGCATAGGGTTCCGCCGCTTTGCGTTCATCAGCGATGTGCCGGAAGAGTGCTCTCCCCGTGTGTGCTGGCAATGTGTAATCATAAGCTTTTGAAGTTGTGTGTGAAGTAGACTATTTGTCAATTCTACTCTATTTCTCATATGAATAAAAGAGGACATTTTTACATGTTTAAGGTCCACTTTTAGAAATTTTAAGGGACTTTATGGATGTCTTCTGTCCCTTTTTTGTTATATTTGTTTGCTTGTTTGTTTTCCAGAGCTGAAGACCAAACCCAGGGCCCCGCACTTGCTAGGCAAGCTTTCTACCACTGAGCTAAATCCCCAACCTCCTTCTGCCCGTTTATTTTTTTTTAAATCCTATGGAATTAAAAAGATCCAATTTGCCTATTTGGCAGTATATCTTTTTGATATGACATGCTAATTGAAGGCAGAACCACAGAATCCTTGTGGACTAGCCCTGAGTTGCACCCTGTAGACACCCTCAGTCTGTAAGCAGGGCACTGGGGCAGTGGCAATGATCTTAGGAGGTGCCAGTGTGCTGCTGTTTACCTTCCAATACTACACCTGCCTCCAAGGCAGGTCAGCTCACACCTGCTGCACTGCGAGGGCCACCTGCCAGAAGACAGTGGTGACAGCACTTACCTTTCAGGATTATTGTCTGGATTCAATGACTTAATACGTCAAGTACCTTAAACAGTGGCAGGAACGGCACGCTTTCCATAAATGTTCTGTTTATAGTCAATATCATATTCTCAGTGTGTTGATTTGATCCCACGAGAGTGCCTTAATCTAGCATCCTGGAACCTGGAATCGGTAGGGGACTCAGAATTTTAATTCATTCTTTCATTAATGAACTCATCCAATCACTCCACGAACGGCTATGGAGGATCTGCTACTGGCCACGCACTGGTCTAGACGCTGCAGACACCACAGAAAGACTGACTTTGAACTCTTGCCACTTACTCTTTGGTGGTAGAGGGGATGTGCATCTGTTTTATCACTTGCGTCTTCAATATCCCAGAGCAAGATTAATGCATGAATCAAAGAATGGAGGAGCAGGGACTGATGGGAGAATGAGGCCGAGAAATGGGAAGGAAAATGGCAAGTCCAGACTGTAAGGACAGCTTGTCAAGGACAGCCTGGACTTCATTCCGAGTTGAGTAACTGTGAGATCTTCTTTGTGTATGAGAACTCTCAAGCCTGTGGCTGGGCGAATCCGCTGGAGGGGAAAAGCTCTGTGCTGGTGAGAGTAGGGGAGGATGAGGAGGGTGTGAGTGAACAACAGGCTGGCTGTGGTGCCGGAGAGGAACTGAGTTACGGGGAGACTCAGGAGTCGCAACTGAAGATAGAAGATGGGTCAAGAGGAAAGGGGAGGATACCCACAGAAGTGGATCCGTGCCACCTTGACTAAAGGTCAAAGTTCAGACCTACTCTTGCTTCTTCAAGGTTACTGACAGGAGATTTGCGGTGTGGCTAGTAACAGGATGTCTTGACCTCTGGTGTGGTTACTTGGTGTTTGGGGCATTAAGATGGTAATCACTTTGTTCTTTGTGTCATGGTAAAAAAAAGTCTTGCTTTCTCCCCCCCCCCTTTTTTGAATTGGGGCATTTAAAGATCATAAGAAATAAGCATGGGCGGATTCAGTATTCACTGGGTCGCCCTTCTGACTCTATCCTATGTCTCTGTATTTTGTTAGTTTGTATTCTGCCTAACATTTCTAGTCCACACGCCCCTACCTTGGAATGTATGAACTCATCGAGGCTGGACCCTGACATATAAGAGCAGGGGTGAAGTCTGGAGTGCAACTCTCTTGGGTTTGAAGTTGAAGAGAGATAGCTAAATGGAAGGTGGCTTTTAAAACTTGAATTCCAGGTGACCATTAGGTTTCTCTATGTTTACTGGAGTCAGAAGGTGTGGGTCTACCTAGGGTGCTGCAGATTTCAGTGTCTGATGTTAGGACTCCCTTGCCGACCAATCGGCAAGCAGCGTAGCTTTGGGGCTGCCTAACTTTCCTAGGACATCTGATAGGGCACACTTAGTGCCATGTAATCGTCAGCAGTAAACGGGAGCTTAGTCTTTGAAGGCATAAGTACTCATCTTGGCATCTTCCAAGCCCACACTGTTAAAATAGATATCAGAAAGGGAGAATTATGAAAGCAAATCCAAAGCTGGGTGTGGTGGCAAACGCCTTTAATCCCAGCATTGGTAGGTAGAGGTAGAGGCAGGTGGATTTCTACAAAGCAGGGTCCAGGACTGTTAGGGCTGTTACACAAAGAAACCCTGTCTCAAGAAAGCCAAACACACACACACACACACACACACACACACACAGAGAGAGAGAGAGAGAGAGAGAGAGAGAGAGAGGGAGAGAGAGAGGGAGGGAGGGAGGGAGGGAGGGAGGGAGGGAGAGAGAGAGAGAGAGAGAGAGAGCAAGTAAATCTTTAGGCTGTTCCTGGAACATGAACCAGGCCGCAGGGATTTAGTACAGAAAGAGTTTACAATCTGTTCCCCCAAAGACAGAGAACAGGTGATTTAATAATCTCCGGACAGCCAGGAGATGGTGGTTGCGCATATCTTTAATCCCAGCACTCGGGAGGCAGGGGCAGGAGGATCTCTGAGTTCGAGGCCAGCCTGGTCTACAGAATGAGCTCCAGGACAGTCAGGGTTACCTTGTGGGAGTGAGGGGTGGGGGTGGGGAGGAATCCCCAGCAGTCTAATAAAAAGTCCTTGCAAATGTTGATGACAATTCGTGCTTTTTTATAGAGATCTCATGGGATTAAAGGTTGGGAAGTCTAGACTTAAGAGATCCGGACAAGACAGCCATTTGGAAACCTGGGCTTCCTTCTTTACCATAGAAAAGGAATTTCTGATGCCACCGTGGATGTGGTAAAAATCCATGAGATTAGGAGCCATCTTCCACAGACGCCTCCACAGGTTGACATTGCCGTTATAAAGTTAATCGAACTTCCTACATGATGTCACTGGATTCCACAAGAAGGTTTATTTCAGTTAGGAAAGGATCTGTTGGAATCCATTCTTTCATCATCAGAGCGCTTTTCCCCCCACCTGACATGTATAGTTGAGAGGGCAAAGTAGTCTCTCAGAAGCATATGAGGAGCTAATGCAAACGAATTGTAGAATAGGGGTGGGAAGAGGAACGTTCTCTGTGCAGGGCAAAGAAAATATCAAGAGACGCCAGGCACTAGCGACAGTTGGCACGGGAGAGGGTTGGGGATAAGAAGGAGGGAAGGGAAAGCATGCGAACGCAACCTCACGTGCAGGGCACGAGTCCACAGCAGAGCTGTGAAGAGAACTGGGAAAGGAGACTTGGTTCTCCGAAGATGCCTTCTCCGCCCTGCGGCAAGGGGGTGTGGTACCGAGCCCGAGAAGGTGGGGGCGGGAGACAGTGGCGCAGGCCACAGCGGGTCCCCCACTTCTTACTAAAGCTTGAGAGCAGCGGAGCGGGGGAGGAGGCTGGCCGGGCGGAGGCGGGGCGAGGGCGAGGATGGGCGTGGCGGGGGCGCGCAGGGCGGTGCAGGCCGAGGGCGGCGCTAGGACCCGCAGGCCGCCCCGCCGGCTCCCGGGAGGTTGATAAAGCGGCGGCGGCGTTTGACGTCAGTGGGGAGTTAATTTTAAATCGGTACAAGATGGCGGAGGGGGACGAGGCAGCGCGAAGGCAGCAGCAGCACCAGGGGCTGAGGCGCCGGCGGCAGACTAGCGACCCGAGCGTCGGGGTGAACCACGTCTCGTCCACGACCTCCCTAGGTACGGGCCGGTAGGGCCGAGGCCACGGGGGCCGGGTGTCCGGGAGGCCGCGGCCGCTCGGGCTGGCGAGCACCGCGCGCCCGGCGGGGTCGAAGTCAGCGGCTGGCCGGGCTCCGTTCTCGCCGCCGCGGTCGCTCGCAGGGCCTAGCCTCAGCCGTGCCCCGCGCCCGCCTGCCCGCTCTCGCGCGCGGCCTGAGAGGGCGGCCCACGGGCCTCAGCTCTCCCAGCTGGCGGGTGAACGGGCGGCCCGGCCCCCTGCCCGCCGCGTGGCTGCTGCCGCGTCCGCCCCGACCCAAGGGGGCGGCCTCGAGTCGGGGCCGCGGGGCCGGGACGCCCCGAGGTCGGTCACCCGGCGGGCACTCGCTGCCTTGGGTGCCACGCGCGGGCCGGGGAAGGGAGGGAAGAGCGGGACGCTTGGGCCGCCGCGGTGGTGGTGGTGGTGGCGGTGGCGGCGGAGGACGCGGGAACCGCTGGCACCTGGCTGCCAGGTCGCGGTGCTCGCCACACAACCCTTGCCGGTGGGAGCCGCAGTCCGCAGGCCAGGGCTGTGGCGCGGGCTCAGGTTCCCGAGCTCTTCGATCCTCCCTACCCATGCGCAGGAGTTGTGCTTGGCCGGGCTTCCAAGTGTTGGCTTAGGTTGTCAAACCGGGGTTAGGAACCCTGTGGCTGCTAGTCTTTGGCTTCTGGCTGGAAAGTGGCTGGTGTGAAGTCACCTGATCTGTCGCTCCCGGGTTTTGGTGCGAATGTGAGCTCCTACTGTACGTGTGTCCATGGCGCCCCTACCCCCTCGAAGACGCAGTTTTTGCTCTCACTCACAGCACCCTTATTTTTAGGAGTTTAGCATTTGATCTTTCACCTTGGTGGGACTTGAACGCACGAAGTCCTTATTGAGAATTGTGATGGTGGGTAAAGGCATAAAGTTTTTAAAAGGCGTATCAATTAGTAAAGCTGACGATTAGAGACGTGAGGTCCAGATAAGAGTATAGTAAACACACTGAGTACGAGATTGCGTTCATATTTCCTTTTCCACGATCTGATAGAGGTTTTACTGGGTGAAACTTAAAACATTGTGATTAAATATTAACCACAGGCATTTATAGACAACTTTAGATTACACTTCATATGTGGTAGCTCTTGGACATATGTCAGAGGTGAGGATTGATTAGAATTTGTCTCTGAGGAAAAAAATGTTACCCGTCAACTACAAACACTTGCCAGAACTGTTTACAGGAGTAGCCCTTTGTCCTTAAATACTCCCTGAGAGACTTTTACTTACTTTAGGTGGCTGATGGTTGAATTTAAGTATTTGTCCTGGAATATCGGTGTGTGTGTGTGTAACAGTTTGAGATGTAGTGTCAAAAACACTTTATTAGGAAAAGCATCCTGGTTAAGAGCATGTTTTTATGCTTTGGACACTGAGAAGGGTAAGAAAGATCCTTGGGACTGTTGATAAATAGTGCTTGCCCAACATTTATGAAATGTTCTTGTCTCTTGCTCAGAGATTTCGGCCTTTCTTTTGGAGCCCGTGTGTGTGTGTGTGTGTGTGTGTGTGTGTGTGTGTGTGTGTAAGACTTTCACTGAGTAGCCCTACTTCCTAAGACAGTCCCCAGCACCTGCTAATTTGTTTCTGAGTCACCTCTTACTGTATTTCAGACCAAATAGACTTGTTAGGATTTGTGTCGAAGGTAGGAGCAAACAGACTGCCAATTCCTAAGGGATTCCTCTATTTTGGTGATGTCGAAACTTCCTCCTCCCTGTGCTTTTTAGAGCAGCAAGCTGAGGAATTGAGTTTAAAGTTACAGAAGTGAGTTGGGGTGAGCCAGGTGTCCCTTTAGCGGCACGGTCTTGGGAAGATGCTCTGTTCCTCTAAGAGAGATGGTTGGGTTTTAAGGAGTTTAGGATCTCTAGAAAACACACTCCTTTGAGAATTGAGGATGTTTCAGAATTTATCCACCATGAAATATAAACTTTAGGGATTTCATAAAGTTAATAGACAATTAAAATAGAATTTTATGTACAAGGAACTTAGTATTTCAAAGCTTCTGGTGTTGATGGCCTCATATCTCACTTCGATGAAGACGGGAACCTGTGTTATGTTAAGCACACAGTTAGCAACTGGTGAAATCACATAGTCACTCCTTGGTTTACCATAGTTGGGAAAATATTAAATGGGAAATTTAATAAATAAGTGACCATACTTTGTGTTTGCATGAACTCATGAAAAAAAAAGATCAACCCCAGATCATTCTCCATCTCCAGTGTGTTGAAGATCAAACCGAGGGTTTTCCAAATATTAGGCAAGTGCAATATGTTACAGCCTACCTCCTGAGTGGGTTTAGGATGCAGCACTCAATGAAAAAGTATTATTGACCCTTAAAGTTGATAGGAGTCTAGGATTGTGTAGGTGAGATCAGTCTGTTAGATAGAGTGCTTTTGAAATTCTGTGGAATTGTTTTTATGGGGAGGGGAAGAAGAAGCTACTCTACAGCAAAGGGGTGTTTATTATGGAGAAAATGAGGTTGTAGCTGTAGGCTGAGTCCACATAGGTATACAGTTTTTCAGGATTTTTTTTCAAAGATTTATTTTAAAAGGTGTGTGTGTGTGTGTGTGTGTGTGTGTGTGTGTGTGTGTGTAGATGCACCTGAATACAGGTTCGGGGTGTCAGATCCCCTGGAAATGGAGGGGGTGATTATGAGCCACTTCATGCTGGTGCTAGAACTGAGTCTGGAAGAGTATGCTGTCTTCAGCACTGAACAATTTCTGCAGCCTTTCTTTTTTTGGTGTGGCTTCATTACAACTTTGGTAGAATTCCTGATTGTTCCCCAAAATGACTGTTTTGAAATTGTTAGACCTTTTCCGAGATCATGCCCTTCTGCAGCTGGTACCAGGTGGCTCCCAAGGGTGACAGGAAGGCAACCAGTGTGATGATGCTAGAGTTGACACATTTTGAACTGTGACACATATTTGCAAATTCTTGTTTATGAGTGATCTGCTTGACAATCACATGCGAGTAAAGCGTTTTTCAGGCCAGCTCTCAAAGTTAAAGCCAGAAAGGTTGGGCAGAGGTCGATTTTTTTTTTAAATGTTCACTTAATTACTTTATAAGGAGTGCTTTCTCTGGGGAAGATACAGAGAAACAATTTTAATCTCTTTTTTCCTCATCCTTAAATGCAGTAGTACCCTGATATTGTAGCCATTTGAGGTTTTTAAAGGCCATGTGCGTTACTTCATAGACATTGGCCTTTTTTTTAACCTTAAGATGTGACCATAGACTCAGGGAAGGAGCTGTTGCACTTTCTATGGGGGCGTGGCTGATGTGGGTGGGCTGGGCTTGCGGGAGCAGAACAGGACCGGGGGCATCCGGGTGTGGGCGGATAAGTGGGTTTGGGAGTTGTGTAGCAAACCACCTTTCTAAGGACAAATGGTAACTTTCCCAGATCTGTATGTAAAAGCCAGACAGCTATAGGAATGAAAGGGTTTAGTCTTAGGGTGCAAAAAAAAAAAAAAAAAAAAAAAAAGATGTGACCATAGAGTAACTGATTTGATCCCACGGTGAACTCATTTCTGATGCTTTGTCTTATCTCTTAGTCTCTTTTGCCACCAAGAAATGGAACAGTTGAAGGCTTTCTCTATTGTTGTAAAAGTGTTTAATCAGAAAAATCAGCCGGGCGGTTGTGGCGCACGCCTTTAATCCCAGCACTCGGGAGGCAGAGGCAGATGGATCTCTGTGAGTTCGAGGCCAGCCTGGTCTACAAGAGCTAGTTCCAGGACAGGAACCAAAGGCTACGGAGAAACCCTGTCTTGAAAATCCAAAAAAGAAAAATCGCCAACCTGAAAATTTGATTACAACCAGGTACTATTTGGTTCTTAACAAAGCACTTTGCCCCCAGCATTTTATTTCTTAAAGCCCCCTTTTTGGGGAGGGAGTTGAGTCACTGTTTGCACTGGAGAGAGAGTGTGCTGTTTCTCCAGTCACAGAAATTTCTCAGGTACTTGATTCATTACTCCCATGTTTAAAGAGGTAGGGTAGGGGCTTTTCACTTGGTTGCTATATGTGATTAGAGATGGCTGAATAAATGAAGTTTAAAATGCTAACTGGGAAGGCGGACAGAAGGCAGTATACAAGGGAAAGTGCAGACAATTCGCTGAGTGCTGGACTGTATTTGTTTGCCTTTGGTGTGGAGCTTAGGATTGAACCTAGCTCCTGGCCTAGAGAGGCAAGTGTTTTCATGGAGCTATACTAGCTCTACTACCCTAGCTAGACTTGAAATTAAAAGTAGGTGGGGAAAGGTAGATGTAGAAAGTAGAAAAACCAATGAAGGAAGTAAAGCAGTACTAGTGTTAGGGACAGTGAGGGTCAACGTGCTCAGAAGTACAAAACCCAAATAGCTGTTTAGTTAGGACTTTTCAAGTGGCTGTTACATATATCTATCTGTGTTTGTGTGTGTACACACTAGATTGAATTTTGAAGTAGATTCATGATTTTTCACTACTTTGGGATAAATGCCTATACAGTAGTTGGTGTGATAGCTTCTAGAAATGACTATAAATCATGAAAGACAAATTAATAGTCTGTCACTTTCCCAATGAGATAATACGCACTTTTGACTAAGTTGTATATGGTTTTCTGGCCAGTACAAGTAGAATATAGTGGGTTTACTTTCTTTTTTTTTTTTTTTTTAAATTTATTTATTAATTGTGTATACAGCATCTGCCTATATCCCTGAAGGCCAGAAGAGGGCACCAGATCTCATTATAGATGCTTGTGAGCCACCATGTGGTTGCTGGGAATTGAACTCAGGACCTCTGGAAGAACAGTCAGTGCTCTTAACCTCTCTCAGCCATCTCTCAGCCCTTTACTTTCTAATTTTAGTTTAATGAAGATTGTTTCATAGAATTGTATCTCTGTGACTGATACTACTATAAGCAGTTAGTGGCTGCCCAGATAACCTAGCTGCCTGAACACTAGCTGGAAAGATTCACATCTGATGAAAGTTGGT